TACGCACTTTTTCAAGGTAAGCATTTCGGACACAGGTCAAAACCTGATGCCACCGTTGTAGATGGGTCGGGAAATCTGGCGCAAAGACGACAATATCATCCAAATAGCAGAGGTAAGTGTGCCTCTCAAGCCGTGTAAGATGCTATTCATCATACGTTCAAAGGTGGTGGGCGCGTTACATGGACCGAATGGAACTACAGTGAATTCGTATAATCTATCTGGTGTTACAAACGCGGTTTTTGAGTGGTCAGTCTCAGCCTTGGGCACTTGCCAGTAGCCAGAGCAGAGATCCAAGGAAGGAAAGAATTCCACTCCTTGCAAGCAGTCGAGTGCACCATCAATTCGTGGCAACGGGTACACATCCTTTCGGGTAATCTTGTCAAGGCGGCGGTAATTGAGGCAAAATCGTATTGTGCCATTTTTCTTCCGAACAAAGACGACAAGTGATGCCCAAGGACTGCTGGAAGGTTGAATGACACCACGTTTAAGTATGACATTCACATGGTCATCGATAAGGTGCCTCTCACTCGCCGATACTCGGAAAGGACACTTTCGAATGGTTGCATGGCTTTCGGTGTCGATAGTAAGCGAAACAGTCGTTGTGCGGCCGATTGCCCTTGCTTGGCAGTCAAAAGAGGAAGAGAAATCGTCGAGCAAGCGAAGAAGTTGGTCTTGTTGTGTCGTCGTAAGGTTTCTGGCTATAGCTCGTGTCAAAGATCGCGGTAGTGGCCATGGAGTTGATGTCTCGAGGGTGGCCATATCAGTGGGGTTGTCCATGGTGTCGAATATCGAAGATGACGCGAGCGGCTCGGCTTTGCCGAGGGTTTCCCGGCGTCGCAAAATGATTGGATTCGGTGATGGATTGGTGATGTACATCACAGAGACGCCTGAATGTAATTCGAGAAGAGCAAATGTCAATGGCAGTGATTGGTGGTGAACTAGAAGTGCAGACAGTGCGAAAAGCACGGAGCCGCCATCTTCAGAGTCACAAGAGATGGAGACAAGAACAGTAGACTGGGCAGGCACAATGGTATCGTCACAAACTGTGATTTTGCGACAGGTGTCCTTGTCATTGATGACATCTGTCGAAAACGGGAACAACTCGAGTTCAGCGCGGGCGCAATTGATGATCGCACGACGTGTAGAGAGGAAATCCCACCCTGATATGACGTCGTGAGAACAAGATGGCAGCACAATGAATTCGATGCCATAAAGAACATTCTGCATGACGACACGGGCTGTGCAGGCACCGGTTGGCTCGACGTGCTGCGCGTTGGCTGCACGAAGGTATAGTCCAGAGACAGGCGTCGTGAGTTTTCCGATATGACGGCGAATGTAGACATCAATCGCTGAAAGGGCAGCACCGGTGTCGACAAGGGCTAGCGTCCGTGTTCCTTTTATAGCGACTTCAATAACGTTTCGGGGAGAAATTCGAGGCCTTATGCATTTCGCAGGAACCGCAGCTCTCGCTTCCTGAACTGCGCTACTTAGTTTTTCTGGCGCACAGGGCTCCGCCGTTGCGGCATAGGGGAAAGGGAGCGGCGGCAAGGAGAAGGTGAGTGGCATGAGGAGGGTGGGGTCCGGGAGGTCGGATCAAATTCGTAGTCATCTGAATAACTGCGGCGGGGTTGATGTGGTCCATACGTGACCCATGGTGGACGCACAATGTTGGAGATAGGTGGTGCACGAAAGTGACAGTAACGGCCCACATGTCTAACAAGGCCACAATGAACACAAATGAGGCGGTTGTCTTGCGTGCGCCAAGGGTCGTCGGCTCATGCGTACTGTATGACTGCGTGGGCAGGCGGCGATACTGGCGGGCGAATAGGTTAACTACGAGGGCTGGAACCTTGCATCACAGGCCTGGAAGCTACGGCGGCGTACGTCGGGGGAGCAGCAGTCGGAGCCTGATGGAGCGAAGGCGAGACCTCTTCGGCTATCTGGTCCCTTATGATGTTTTGGAGAGAGGGCGCCAACGTGGAATTCGACTGGTCGTGAACAAGCGGCATCAGTGAAAGCTGGCGAGCGACCTCTTTACGAAGGAAATCCTGAATCTGTTGCAGCAGATATGAGTTGTCAGGAGCAACAGCCAATCCCGACATTAAAGTCGCCTGTGGATGTGAGCGGCGCGTGGCTGTGCGTCGTTTGCGCTGCTCATCAAAACTTTGGCCAAGACTGACAAGTTCCGACACTGTGGACGGGTTCTTTGCCAGTAGCATCTGAAAGGCGTCGTCTTCTTTCCCTTCCAAGATATGCCTGTTCTTATCGGCATCGGCCATTGCAACATCAACGCAGTTACACAGGTCAACAACGTCTTCAATGTAACTGGTGAATGTTTCACCATTCTACTGCGCGCGGCCACGCAACCGTTGATCGGCTCGAAGTTTGCGAACAGCGGGGCGCCCGAATACTTCCGTCACGTGCATTTTGAAAGCAGCCCTCGTCGGGAAGTCGCGTTGGTGGTTTCGATGCCATACGCTTGCGACGCCGCTCAAATAAAATGACACGGAGCTGAGCTTTGCAGCGTCATCCCAGCGGTCGATAACGCTTACCCGTTCGTATTCGGCGAGTCAGTCTTCAACATCCTCCTGTTCTGTACCGCTGAAGATCGGTAGGTCACGTTGGCGCGATGAGCCAGGACAGACCAACGTAGCCACCAGGACAGAAGGTTGTCTGCGGTTGATTTGGTACTTCGTCCGGCATTGCAGAGGTGGCTGGCTTGAGTTTCCGGCTACGAAGTTCCAGGTTGGTGTGACCCAGCAGCTCCACCGCTTGTTACGGGGCTTTATTGAGGTACACAGTGACCGGGAAGATAGGAGCAGCAGCAGGCAAAGCGTAGCCAGTGAGCGAACAGCCGAGCGAGCCAAGCTTGTCTTGTCTTGTCTTGTCGCCTAGGATATCTTGGCTCATACCCACGCGGGGGATAGGCCACTCTGTACCTCATAATAGGTAATTATTTTACAACGCTTGCTAAAAAAAGAAACATAAATTAGATAGAAACAATAACAATGTTCCTTTAAAAAACGTGAAAAAGTGCAGAAGAATGCGATAAACCAGAATATATAAAACAAATTAACAAGAATGAGGCAGGGGGACGAAAATTGGATATATCTGGCAGTACCACTAGCAGCGTATCCTTCCGGTGGCCTGAATAAATTTATGTAGCGCTGAAAGAATAGCACTGCGGCCCACACCCAACTGACTGACTCCAAACGATAATAGGGTGGATGTATTGACTGGCAATCCGAGCGTACCAATCGGTCTTTCAAGAATTATTCGTCGCCGTGAGGTGAAGCGTGGGCATGTGAGAAGAAAGTGATCTATTGTTTCCGGTTCATTGCAAACTGCACATAGGTTAGTTATTGAAAATGCTGATATGTTGAGATAAAATTTTAACCAAGGAACTCTACAGCGAAAGCTTGTGAGGGTCACCTCACATTGACAGGAAAGGCATTTTGCGGTGTTCCATGTGAATTGCAAGTGCCGAAATTGGTCAGATTGTAGGAGAGACGTTTCGTTGATTTTTAAGAAAAACAGGCGTTTGAATTGTTCGCCAGTAGTAAAAAGAAACTGTGGGGCTACTAGCACCACCGGAAAATTTATTGAGGCCGAAGCGATCGAATCAGCAATTTCATTTAGTACAATTCCAGCATGCCCGGAGACCCTAATAAACAAAACTCCTGATACGCTATACGGTACAAAAGGGCGATGGCAATGCGCTTCCGCATGTGTCCATCTTCTTTCTCACACGCACAACAAGGTGGCACTGAATAAACGAAAGCTGTCAAGACAATATTGCAGACCGGTTGTGTTGCTACATGGAAGCGAGTAAAATGCGAAGTGTCGATATACGAACGTTTTTACTCAAGCCAGGACACTTTTGCCAAGAACACAACATTAACCTCACACGCTTAAACACCATTATAACTAAGTCTTTTAGAAACATTCTACATACGGATGCATTTCACGAAAGTGCGAGTAAACAAAAAAAGAGGGGAGGGGGCTCTGAAAATGCGTAGGGTTCGAAATAGTAAATTCAACGCGGTGTGGTGACTGCTATGACTTGTTGGTGATTTGAAGCCTACTTGAAGCATATATCTCGGGTCTGCTGGGGGGGCCTAGTGGCTAAGGTACTCGGCTGCTGACACGCAAGTTGCAGGACCGAATCCGGGCTGCGGTAGCTGCATTCTCAATGAAGGCGTGAATACTGTAGGCCGATGTGCGCAGATTTAGGTGCACGTTAATGGGGCCCTGTAATATTTTTTTCAAATAACCAGAGAATTATTTCACTGGAAGAAAGTATCACCTCACAAAATGAACGCCGCAAAAATTTCAAAAATTTGTCCAGGAAGCGAGGAGTAACAAATATTTGTCACACGCTGTGATAACATTCTCTCTTTTCTCGTCCCGACAAGAACGCTGGGGGTTGAGAAGGGAGGCATGGGAGGAACAAACAGAAAACGTCACCCGCGCCTCGTGGCCTTGAGAATTTTTAATCACATGCCATTTTCAATGCGACCACGCACGCGTGCGTGGACAAGAGACGGCCTCTCGCGGCGACCTCTGTAATACCCGAGCGCGCCATGTTTAAATCAGCCAATGGCTGTTAGATGGGCTCACTGGGCTCAAGTCCGTGATTTGTCGAGAGAACAGAGAGCTATTTCTAGCTGACTTTGATAATTTATTGCGAATTCCAGGCCGCGTGCTGCGCTATATTATTTGACTCGCGTGTTGTCGGGAGCCTTTACTACCAATCAGCCGCGTTTTTTGACCATGCTAAAAAGTGTTTCAAGGCCGCTTCGAAAAACCGCAGGCGGTCGATATTTCTAGAGCTCTTTACTACGGTGTCTCTCATAATCATGTGGTGGTATTGGGTCGTTACGCCTCATTTATCAATCAATTAAGCAATCAAGCTATATCTCGAGTTAGTGATGGGCAAACTACGTTAACAAATAAAAATCTGTCTTCAGCTACTCGTACTTTGTGTGGAAGCATCTTACCTGTACAATAGGAGGTTGTTGTCTATATTTCGTAGCCAAGCGTATTGAGTCGATAGAGGTTAACTCAATTTAGAGCATGTTAGGAAAGGCTTTATACGGCTTTGCAAGCGTCATAGGCCATTGTTCTCCAAGAACAATTGAAGGCGCATGTTTAGCTCAAAACAATGTCATCCGAATGTATTTTATTCACTCAGCAACCATTATGCATAAAGCTTCCGCGTTGCCGGCCGCTGTGAACTTAGTTTTTCTGTTGTTGCTTTAATGATTTCCAGTGATCTACCCAAATTGCAGTGATTTTATTGATTTGGCGCCTAACTGCAATAGAAAAAATCATAAAACCCTAAAGTTGCGCCTCTAAGAGTTGAACGTAATTGCCAGTTCCTGTACCTAGTGCGTACATGGAACGCTTGGTCCATGAAACCTTTTTGAATTTGCTATGCACCCACTACATAGCCTTACGGGAATAGGCGCAGTAGCGTGTGTGCCTCTTGTAGTGGTGTACCGGCTCTCAACAGCAAAGGAATTATGATAATCACATATTCCGACGCCCGTTGGCGATGGACGCCTTTACCGCGCATTATTACTGCAATATTTTGTGTTTAATAGAAAAGAATGTACACAAGAGTGTGTGTTTGTGAAGCACAAAAGGTACTTTCACTTTACTTGAAAACAGAGGAAGCTATTTTCACTTTTATCACAAGCAGAGACGTGGTCGTGTGGTAGAACATCAGCTTTCCACGCAAATGACCTGGGTTCGATACCCACTTAAACCTAAACAACCATGGATTGGTTGTTAGGGTTTCTAAGAGCGAAGCTCTTTAAGGGATGGGCTGAGCGTCCCGTCGTAACCCTATGTAGGCACCTCTCGTTAATTCTTGAACTGGCCGTAGAGGGCGATACTTGTGCATATAACGAAATGCATATACGCAGAAAAATCCAAATGATACGACACTAGAGGACGTTATTGTAGTATGATAAATAATAAAAAATATCCATTGAGTGAATGATGATGACTTAGGCGAAGCGTCCATCATTCCGTCCGTGCTTCCGGCCATCCGTTCGTTTTTGCTTCCGTCTATGCGTGCATCCGTCCACGCGTCCGTCCAAACGCCCATCTGTCTGTCCGTCCTCTCATGCATCTATCTGTGCGTTCGTCCACGCGTCCCTCCGTTCGTGCGTCCATCCTTTCATCCACGCGTTGGTCGGTTAAGCCGTGCGTACATCTATTCGTGCACCAATCCATGTGTCCGTCCATCCGTGGGTCCATCCGTTCGTTCGTCCATTCCTGCGTTTATCCACGCATCCCTCCATGTGACCATCCCTGCATTCGTACATGCGTCTGTTCATATCAGCGTCAAACAGACAGAAAGACAGACGACGGAGGAGCCTGTCAGCGGATGATTCACGGTTCACCTATAAAAAAATTGGCAGATTCCACATACAGTGGAAATCAATGATATGCGAAGCACGAATGAGGAAGGTTGATACGCCATTTTAAATCACCACAATATTACGAGGTAGAGGTAAATTACGCCGTACACGACTTCCATGACATCATTATCATGTTTGATGTGTTGTTTATCTTCGTCATCCATTCACGTCACAGGATGCCAAAATTAGTATATGTGGAGCTAGCGAAACGGCCGTGAGCACGCTATGAGCATGGTACGTTGTCATTTTCTTACATGCAACGCGTGTCATGATTATCTTGTTTGCACTAGTCTTATACCTTCGTCATCCATTCACGTCACGTGACACCAAATTTGGTATATGTGGAGCTAGCAAAACGGCCTCGAGTGCATCATGAAGTGCCCAATATACTCCAGCCTAAAGTTGACGCCCGCCCACGCTAGGCACAGTGACGCTACGTTAGCCAAACGCGAGCACTCTTTAGTCTGATGCTAAGCGCGACCGGCGCGAACAGCGTCCGACGGCTTGGCCCGACGTCAACCGGTGCTAAATGCGAGATGTTGCATTTGGCGCCAATGCATTACCCAAACAGCACTGCGTCTGCTTATTTTCGAGAAGGAGGGCCACCGGACGTGCTGAAACGCGCATGCGTTAAAGCAGTATATGGGAGGACCAGCGCCTGGCGTGGCAACGCCAGCGTGACGCGACGAAACGAACGCCGGCGCGCACGCATGCCGGGTCACGTCGAAGCGTATTGGCGCCTTGACTGTGGCATGCAGTCATGTTCTCATTGACTCGCATCTCATAACTATCTTGTTTGCACCAGTCACATAACTTCGTCATCCATTGATGTCACCTAATACCAAATTTGGCATATGGGAAGCTAGCGAAACAGCTGTGAGCGCATCATGATTGTGGCGTGTAGTCATGTTAGGTGACACGCATGCTGTGATTATCTTGATTTAAGTGTCATTTAACGGTCGTCAGTTCGCGTCCCGTATTACCGAATTTGGTATATGAGAAGCTAGCGAAACGGCATTAAGAGCATCATGAGCGCAACATGTAGTCATTGTTACATGACACGCATCTCACGTTTATCATGTTTGCACCAGTATCTTACCTTCGTCATCCATTCACGTCCCGTAATACTAAATTTTGTATAAGTGAAGCTAGCGTAAAAGCCGCCAGCGCACCATGAGCGTGGTATGTAGCCATGTTATTACATGAAACGCATCTCATAATTATCATGTTTGCACCATGCAGATACCTTCGTCATCCATTCACGTATCGTAATACCGAATTTGGTGTATGTGACGCTAGTGAAATGACCGAGAGCGCATCATGAGCGTGGCTTGTAGTCATGTGGTTACTTGACAAGCATGTCATGATTTTCATGTTAGGGTCCTTCGTGCAATCATGCCATACCATACCAGTATGAAACATGTCATGGAAATGAAACTACCGCAAGAGCAGCAAGACCATGACACGTAAATCGTGACATTCATGACATACGTGTCATGATTTTCATGTTTCGATTAGTTAAATATGCTCCTCATATAGTCTTGTAATGCCATACCAAGTTTGGTATCGATATTGTCAGGGGTCGTGCCTTGGACGACTGGAGCAGACTGCGAGTCAAATGCTAAATTGTTTATTTTGGGCGAACCTGTGCTCAGTAAACGGAGAGTCGGACTATAGTAGCAGTCTTGGACTGATAGCGGCGAACGGAGCTTCGGCCATCGATCAACAACTGACAAGCGGCAAAGTGCGTCGGCATTTATACTCTTGCCATCTAATGTTCTAGCGTTATCGCTGGTGGTCACGTAGGTTCCAGAATAATCTGTACAGTTCGCAGAGTGGGCGTCATATTATCGAAATGATCTACTAAAGTCCGGAAGCTTCTTGAAAACTGTAGCCGTGGTTTGCGCTGAGAATTGTGCCCCGCCGCGGTGGTCTAGTGGCTAAGGTACACGGCTGCTGACCCGCAGGGCGCGGGTTCGAATCCCGGCTGCGGCGGCTGCATTTCCGATGGAGGCGGAAATGTTGTAGGCCCGTGTGCTCAGATTTGGGTGCACGCTAAAGAACCCCAGGTGGTCTAAGTTTCCGGAGCCTTCCACTACGGCGTCTCTCATAATCTTATAGTGGTTTTGGGACGTTAAACCCCACATATCTATCTATCTATCACTAAGAATTGTGTAGTGTTTTGGGGCGATAACAAAACTTGGGAAATGAATCGTGGCAATATCTTTATCCAAACGGCCAGGAGAGCTAAATCTCGTAGGCGGATAGATAGATAGATACATAGATAGATAGATAGATACGCTCAAAGCCGCCGAAGTTCGCTAAGAAATGTTTCGCGTTTAAATGTATGATACGTGCTGCAAGGCAGCAGCGGCTCACGTTCGAAGAAGGAATAACGATGTGCGAGCGTGCAAAAAAATGGGAATGATGTCACGCGAGAACGTAGGTGATCGTGTGTTCATCGGTGGCGTCCTACGCCAAGGGACGCGGTGCAGTAGAATAAAAGCCATTTCGGCGCACGCGCGCGTTCAGAAGGTCGGCGGCTAAACAAGACTGCAGAGCGGCATGCGCGCCAGGCGGTGGTGGCTCGCGCTCGAAGACGGAACTCCAAAAGTGCGAGCACACGAGGCATAAGCGTGCCGTGAAGCTGCGCGGCGGCGCCAACAAGATCCCGGCGTTCGAGAACGGGAGGCCGAAGTGGCGCGGCAGCGGCGTGCGGATTCAGCTTGGCTCCACTGTTCATCATTCGCCCGTTGGATATGCTGTCAGTTTCAACATTTTTCTTTTATTTGCATCGTGCTAGATTTTTCGGTCACGCCAATAAGATGAGGATTTTTTGCTCGCAGCCAAGGACGCCGACACTGGCACCGACGGCGACACTAAAATTTCTTCAAAACGAGCTCTTTAACGGTATTGCATTAAAATATAGACTCTGCGTCTATAATCTAGCGAATTCTTCCACGCGACCCCATGTCACCCACACACGAGTGGCCTTGTTGAGCGAACCAACAGGACGCGTACGAACATTTTGTCAGTTTTTGTTGATGCAAAGCACAAAAACTGGGCCGAAGTACTGTCCTATAAGAAATACGCATACAACACCGCGAAGCACGAGACGACAGGATACTCTTTTTTTTTTTTGCTGTACGCCCGCTCCCCTCACAATAATCTTGGAACCATTCTGCTTTTTTGCGTTTGATGTGGAAATTCCGGTTGCTGAGTCACAAAGCCGCGCTAAAGAAGCTCATCACGTTGAATGCCTCTGAAATATTGCATCTAATTAGCACTCCCTTGTACGAGTCTTCCTCCGAACTCGGTATTACGCCCACCATCACTCTATTTCTTACACAAAAGTTGACATTTTGTGTTGTCGACGCCTGTGCTCAAACGTTGTTTGTGCCAAACGTTGTTCGCCTGCCGCTGCGGATCATTTGCAGTTCTTGACTGCATCAGTGACATTACATACGTCATCTCCACCATCACAAGCAATCCTCGGCGCTCCAGCAAGACACAGATGGCATACGCCACAAGCCTAAGCCACATCACCGTGAACCTTCCAACTGACTTGCCCAGTGGGAATCGTCTGTGAACGGGGAATTGTAACATCCTAGATGAGCGCATGAAGAGAA